AAATGTTAATGCATGTTCCATGTGTAAATATGGGTGATTGAGATGTAATGAGCTGTAACAGAATTTACTGTGCTAATAATTATAATAAAATTGTAAATTTAGTTGTGTTGGTGATGGTGGGACTCCCATCTCTTCCAACTGACCATTTTGCAGGACCGTCATTATTTTAGGGTCCCATCCCAGCATCCTGATTTCATTTTCTGGTGTCCTGCACTTGGGGGCACAAAGGAACTGTCCCCAGGCAGCACAGCACAAGCGTATCATTAGAGGCACTATTGTTGTATGGCCGTGATATTGTTTATTATTGTTTTTATTAATTTATGATTTTTCCAGAACCACAGAGCCCCACTACTGTCTCATAATCCTTAGTTTTTGGGGGGTTTTTTAATTGAGATTGATCACGGTTCTTTATACTTTGTGTTAACATCGCGTTTTCTTCTATTAGTTAGTTTTACAATTGCAAATTTACTATTACAAAGAAGCATCCTGAAGACTTTGCAGCTACCTTGCCAGATATTAACAAATACCAGAAAAAGGCACAGTGAATATGCATTGATATAATGTAGCAGTTAATCAAATAATGCAAAAAATACCGCACTCAAAGTGCTGCACAAAAAGTATATCTGAAATATGTGCAAAAAATAAATCGAAACATATATTCGAAAAAATCGAAAAAAAATACAGAGCTACTATGTACACTCATAAATCCCATAAATCACTAAATATATACCTAGAATTCAAGTTGCATTAGAATGGCTTGATACAAATGTATCATAAAAAGCTTAAATCAATGAACAATCAAGAAGTAATTGATACAAAGAAGATCATAAACACAGGCAATGACTCCGGTGGATACACCCACTAACTCATTAAAGTAGGAGTATGTGTACACACAGGCTAAAGCAAAAAAAGAAAAATACTGAAAAAAACATGAGAAAAATAAATAATAATAATAATAATCCAAAAAATGAAAAAATGTAAATAGGCAAAAGTAAAAAAGAAACAAAGAAAAAAATATGTAAGTATCAAGTCCACTTGCTAGAATGGATGTAGATGATCCATATGGATAATAATGAAAAAGAAAAAAAACTGTATAAAAAGAAAAGAAAAAATGAATGATACCAAAAAAAAGGAGGAAAGGCAAAAAGTTGCTGAAGTAGTCGGATCTCACCCCTCTGTATAGATAATCAGTCCTGATCAATTGGGTAAGTCCATGAGGGATGAACACTGGAGATAATCACTTGATGATCGTTGGAGTCCGGCAGTAGTCCTGGACTTGGGCAGAGGTACAGGAGACTGGTGGGCTGTGGGCTGCGTGCTCTGGACCATGTTGTCCCTTTGAAGGCCCTAAATTGAGATTGATCACGGTTCTTTATACTTTGTGGTAACACCGTGTTTTCTTCTATTAGTTAGTTTTACAATTGCAAATGTACTATTACAAAGAAGCATCCTGAAGACTTTGCAGCTACCTTCTCAGATATTAACATATACTAGAGAAAGGCGCAGTGACTGTGCATTGATGTAATATAGCAGTTAATGTCAGTGGTGGAACTAATGCAGAGAGGGCCTACGGTGCAATCATTTTTTGGGGGGCCCCCTTCAAGTTCAAGGATGGCCAAAATATGTGCAACTCCTACCATTGTGCAGTTGTGCAACTCCTACCATTTGCCTATCCTAGCAGAGTTGTATATATGAGCAGTATTTGTGGGTTTAAATGTAAGCATGTTTTTGTATGAAGTATGTGTGCATGACTGTAAGAGTGTTTTTGTATGTTCTGTTGCCATTTGAATGCAGTGGTGTGTTTGTATGTAGTTACATGGGAAACCAAGAGGGCTGAAATCACCTGTATGTAGTGTGGCAATTGAATGCAGGTGTGTATTTGAGTGTAGTGTTAGCGTTTGAATGCGTATTGTGGCATTTGAATCCAAAGTTGTGGTTGTATGTAGTGTTGGCTTTTTAATGCAGCGGTATAGTTGTGTATGATGTTGGGGTTTGAATGCTGGTATGTACAAATATATACACCCACACTGCAGCACAAATACACACACATACTGACACAGATACAAAAACACACTGACACTAATATATAAACATACAGACAGAGATGCACATACACACTGACACACACACATATAAACACATATACTGACACAGATACATAGTTATAGTTAGTTAGTTAGTTAGTTACATACTAACTATAACTATATGTATTTGTGTCAGTATATGTGTTTATCTGTGTGTGTCAGTGTGTATATATGTGTGTATATATACACACTGACACACATAGATATACACACTGACACAGATACACATGAACACACACACATAGATACACACATATTGACACAGACACACGTGCACCCTACACCACCAGTAGTTCTGCTGCTTTTTAATGTGTACATAGATATTTACATAGTTACGTAGGCAATAAAAAGGCTTGCGTTCATCGAGTTCAACCTATTTCACATCTGTTTCTTTTGTTGATCAAAAAGAAGACAAAAAAAAAAAAAAACAGTCTGAAGCACTTCCATTTCCAACAAACTAGGAAAAAATTCCTTCTTCACCCCAGCATAGCAGTCAGATCTCTCCTTGGATTAGTAAACTGGTTCTTATCTGCCGTCACATTCTATGTTTCTATAACAAGAGGACATAGTCTTAAATTAGAGGGACAAAGGTTTAAAAATAATATCAGGAAGTATTACTTTACTGAGAGGGTAGTGGATGCATGGAATAGCCTTCCAGCTGATGTGGGAGAGGTTAACACAGTAAGGGAGTTTAAGCATGCGTGGGATAGGCATAAGGCTATCCTAACTATAAGATAAGGCCAGGGACTAATGAAAGTTTTTAGAAAATTGGGCAGACTAGATGGGCCGAATGGTTCTTATCTGCCGTCACATTCTATGTTTCTATGTTTCTAAACCGTTATCCCACATATTAACTATTATATCTCTTAATATTATGGTGGCAGTTGCTGTTCAAAGATCTGTAGAAACTCTGATAAAGCCACTTATTTAGGCAGAGAATTCCATATATCTATTTTTCTTGCTGTAAAGAACCTATACTTTTGCTTTATACTAAATCTCCTTTCTTCCAGTCTAAATGAGTGACCTTGTGTCATATATATAGTTTTGGTTATGAATAGATTTCCAGACAGTGGTTTGTAATGGCCCTAAATATATTTTTATAATCTTATCATCCAGTCTTGGAGTGGAGACATCAAAGATAATACAAGTGAACTACAGTATTTACACTCTGATCGGCGCCTAGGGAAATCTGATGCATATGAAATGGTTGTCTTTTCTTTCATTCTATTTATTGACTATGCGTCATTTGCTTGTTTCCTGGACATTAAAGATTGCAACCTCACTTGACCTTCGGACTTACAATTGGATCTAAATCCTTGGTTTGTCTCCTGTTTGCGTTTTGAGATTATTACTTGACACATTGAATTATCGACTCCCAGGAAAACAACTGCCACCTGTGTTGTCTGTAACTCTTTAGGTTACCCCAGTGAGTGTGGAATTGCAAGGGTATGCACCTCATTGCTACTGGACACTTCATACGGATGTAAGTTACATTGCAACTATTACTGCAAAAATAAATTGCAACTCAATCACACAGAACTGTGCAATATATTGAGTGAGGTGGAATGCGGATAATATCAACTACTGTGGAATTAAGCACGACCTACACCCATCAGGCTGCAAACATAAATGGGCCAATATGGGCACATTTATTGGAATTATAGAACAAGTGCAGTTCAGAGACCGTCAGCTTAACCAATGTATTAAATTAAGGAATGTATTATGCTTACCCACGAGACTCCTGTTGAGCAAGTTGCCCTCTCATAGAAAGCACGTAAAACTGTAAACTCTGGGTCCTTCTACATGGATGCCTTCAACATGGATGCTGTCCAGGAGGTGGGAGGGTCTGGGAGGGAGGGTCTGCTGGAGATTGGCCGGGATGTGTCAGCTGACCGGAGCTCGCCGCGAACGGTTTGTGGCGAACCGTGGCGAGCCGTTCGCGGGAAGTTCGCAAACGGTTCGCGACATCTCTAGTTAAGAACTGCACATTTTTTATGTTTTTAATAAACAGGCTGAATCATAGGTCTGCGCTTAAGAACAGAGAGAATACAGGAGAAACAATAGAAATACTAGCAGATCAATTTTTGAAGACACTGACCTAGTGTCTAGGCACACACTTATACACATCTAGTGTAATTTGGGATGTGTCCTAGTCAAACAGGATTTAGAAATGGAGTATTGTCCTATATAAGATAGGTGTTCAGGCTCTATATGCTGTAAGCTGCATTCATTCAAAATATACAGGCTATGTCAGTGTGCCTGAGATTGATGCCACTGGGTCATGAGTAATACGAAGGCAACAAAAAAATAAGAAAAAACATGTGTATCTAAAAAGAGCAAAAAACATGAGGACATTTTTAGATTTAGTAAGCTAAGTAACTGAGTTACAGTCTTATCCAACTTGTCAAGTCGTCTTAGTGGGTTACCCAGACATATGGATGATCGTGATTAAGTGAGTTGTATACTAGGCTTTTAAGATTAAACATATACAGTGCTCATCAGGTTAGACCGCAGGTCCTACGTTATGCTATCTAAGTGCACTGTGGTTGAGTGTGTAAGTGTTACGCAAGCTTAAACCAAACTGACAAATAAAAGTGGTACAGCATCTTAAGTAGAGATGTTTAAATCTGGAATGTTAGCTTTATGTGAAGCCACGGCATGGGTAGTCAGGATTAGCTTCACTGCAGGTAGCCTCTGGTGGTGTGAGCAGAGGGGTTGTGTGACAGGAAGTTTGCGACTGGGTAAGGAACGATTAATACTCTCTTGATAGGTTTAGTCCCAGGGTTAGTCCATGTCATCCCTCGCCACTTCTCGTGGTCCGTTCGTTCCGTCCTGGGTCGACGCTAGGAAGGGGCCGGGGCAGTATGCTTCATTGTTGTGCAACAGCTGCTGTGTTCTCAGTGCTGGCAGGGGTGATTAATGTTTCTCGCTGCCGCTTGTCCTGGGGCACTCCACCCTGCTTGCCGTGGTGAGTTTATTGCCACCGTCCTTTTCAGCTTCCGCCACTCTGTCACTGCTCAGAACCGTTCCTGGCCCGTTAGCTGCTTGCTGCTCTGGTTTGCGAGGCAGCGTTGTTTGCATGCGACATCGTGGCATGGACTGCCGCCATTTTGGGTAGGCGGAGTGTCGTTGTTTCCTCCCGCCTGCATCCATCCAGCAGGCCTGCATGTACAGCAACAGGCTTGTGCAGGTACCGTGGTGGATCCAACAGTCCAAAGGGGGAGGGAGGGTCTGCAGGACTTCGGGACTGGGTGACCGGCAGCGTCCCCTGCCCCGCATCAACTGCTGGGCCGCAAGTCGGACCTGCCACAGCTAGTGCGTCCGGAGAGTCCAGTCTGGTCCCACCGAGGGTATATGTGTGGTGGGTACGTGGGGAACCCAGTTAGGTCATCTGGGTTGTGACCTGAGAGGCTTAAAATCAGCCATTTAACGGGAGCTCCGTTGGCATGCAACTTCTCCGCATGGTGGTCAAGCTCCGCCCCCCCAGACCAGCCAAATATTATTGATATGATGGACCAGCAGGGCATTCAGTAAGTTGCAATGTGTATAATAGCTGAGAGGGACCCTGGAGCAAAAATATTTTAGAACATTATTTGCAGCCTTGCCTCAGTGATGAAACTTATGAGAAGTTCAAGCTATCACCCAAACTCCCAAACGGAATACAAGGGAATGCTCAAAACTCCCGAACGGAGAATCATCCGAACTCTCCTGGAACAGGCAAAAGAATACTCCTATCCCCCCAAACACGAGACCAAGCTTCGTCTTGAGGGTAAAACAGGAATCTGACTTATTGAGGGCTATATGCCCAGTATTTATGCAGGTCTCCCACTTGGTGGACACTCCCCTAGGGGACCAGATGGAAGACTGGGACAAGTATGGTACATTAGCCAATCACAGTGGCTCAGGCATAAACACTCCCCTTGGTAGAAGCAAACCCCTCCTCTCTATCCTGGAGATAATTGGGAAGAAGTCCAATTATCTCCATGGATAGAGGCAAAGTGCCATTTTAAATGATACAGTAAAAATACATAAAATTCCATAACTGTAAAACTACCGAATGTATTCAGTACATATAACATGTCCCCAGATAGCCTAGATCTGAGCACACATTATTACCGAATGGCGCTCAGATCCAATACACACAGTTCAATTGCCATGGAGCCAAAGTCTTTCTCACTGTTCATTCGGTATATGAAGGGCTCCATGGGATGGCTATCTGGGTTAAGTCCATTCATGAAATAAAAGTCCCGAACGGACCAGTGTTCGTATGTCGGATGACAAAGATTGGAGGTCAGCGGTTTCAGCGGTGTTCGGGAGAAAAAGAGTCAATTTTGGGCTCCATAAGTTTGTCGACGAACACCGCTGTGTATTCGTGCATCTAAGATGGCCGCCGCCTCGTGGTCGGCATACGAACGACGACCACCCAGCATACAGTTTCAATTAAGAGGTGTCTGCGGTTAACCACAACGTTCTAATTGAGGCCAATAGGTTAACCAGCAGCACACTCCTCTTCTGGGTGGCCGGCCATTCGGCAGTTTGTTCGGTAGATTAAAAAATAAACGAACGGGGAAGTATGGACAGGCAATTACATGAATCCACATGAATCAAACGGGATAGCACTATAGTTCCAAGACAGAGGGATCTTTCTTCTTTAGTTTTAGTCGTATTTTAGCCACTGGAATTGTTTTAGTTTTAGTCTAGATTTGGTCGACTAAATCTCTAGTAGATTTTAGTCAACACAATTAAAATCTAATGGGTTTAGTTATCTGTCTCTATCCGTCTTTTTTGTCCTTTCCCCAGCCCTTCTGTGTCTCTTTGTGTTCTCCCAGCCCCTCTGGGTGTCTCTCTCTCAAGCCCCGGTCTGTCTCTTTTGACTCTTCCTCAGCCGCTCTGTGGCTCCACCACACACCAGTGTTAATTTTGGCGGCAAATTTCGATTCAGTTTTAGTCATAGTCTTGTGACTAAAAAGCCATTTTAGTTTTAGTTGTATTTTAGTCATTTGAATTGTTTTTATTTTAGTCTAGTTTTAGTCAACTAAATCTCAAACATTTTAGTCGACTAAAATGTGATTAAATTTATTAGTCGACAAAATGAACACTGTTTATTATGGGAGAGTGCTTTGCTGGATAATTTGCCCAGCACTCTGATTGTTTGAAACAAAAAAAAAGCTGAGCACACTTGTTGGTTGATAGCGATACGGGCTTATTCAGTAAATTCAGAATGTTTCTAAAATTAATTCGAATAGCAAAACTGAAGCAAATACAGCCAAGCGGTGACTTTGACTGAATTTGAAGATTTTTTATTTCTTTAGATCCGCTATTTTTGCTTCACTTTTTCCATTCGCATTAATTTGCAAAGATAAGGACTTAAGTGATTAACTATGAATACATTACTAACATTGAATTCAACGTGTTCATTTTGAGTCTCACAAGCAGGTGCCCCGTCTCTCTCCACTACCTATATAACAATTCAGTGAGTGCCAATTAATTCTATAATTGCCACATTTGTGGCTAAGAATGTCTATACTACCTTTCTTCATTAATTGACATGCCTTATTATTCTTGCATTTCGAGGTATTCCCTCAAAACATGTTTTCGTGACTTTGCATGCTGGATTAACCCGAATTCACACTACATTTACATCAAATGAGTGATAATGCTTTGAATGCGCAGTGACAGGGTTGCGTGAGTCTCGTTGCACTTCTCAACCGCTCTGTGAATACTTAATTTGTAGTAAACCTGGCAATCAACAGCCTATGTTCACATGTTGATTATCACATGCTCAAATACATTTACATTACATTACATTAGTTTAACTCGGCCATAATATATCTTCGACTTTTAGTGACAAAGTAGGTAAAGCATTCAGGCTATTAAAGAGTTATATTGAATTTTCCGAACCCAGCACTAAGCACAAAGATCACTTTTGACCCCTGGGTACAGTGGAAAGCATTACTCCACTGAAGACAGGGTTTTTCAATTCGTAACAACAAGGCAGCTGCAAAAGTGTGTGCTTTGATTGCTACAATTCAGATCTCCATTAGAAAATAAACCCCCTGTTTGCTCTACACCAGTACCATGTAAATTACTTGAAGTGGTTGCACCTCTGTAGCTCTCGCACAGAAGCACTCATAAATCCTTGCAGTCAGACCCATTAAATCACCAGTAATGTCATGTGGAAGGAGGGTGCAATAAAACCATCACCCACCTCCCTGTCTCCAGCGTGAATTAATGCAGGGTATGGAATCTGGACCACTTTTACTGTCTCTTACTCATCACCCAGCTTAGTGGCAAGCTGATAATTTATTTACACCAACAAGCAATCTCCTCCTCGCTGAAGGTGTTAAATAAGCACTGGGGAAGTTAAGGAATGCACAAGGAAACATACCAATATTCTTGCTAAGCTGTTGTTTGTCAGCAGACAGGCCTATGAAATACAATTATGATTGACAGGATGCCAGAAGCCGTTCAGATACAGTTTCATGGTCATTATTGCAGTTTTATCCAGATGTGGCAATTGCAGTTTTTTTACCTACTGGATGGATATGCCCACTCATGCCTGCCTAAGAACGTTCTGAGAACTATCTTGGTTTCCCCCGAAGGTTCTGGGTTTGACAAATGTCAACCGGATAAACTGTGGAGTCCTATTTCCAATTTGAGCACCGCTTGTAAATACACAATAGAAATACTTACATAATATTATTTTAATTTAATGTTAATTCTTTCTCAGGCTGCATAACTGGGCATGTAACTGCTGCAAGATCGGGCCTCTGAGAAACAGTACAGAAACACACTGACCCGTGACCAGATGTAGGAGCAGATGGTGAGGGCTCCAGATGTAAATTAAATGTTCAATATAATGTGTATTGAAGGATTGTGGAAGAGTGTGGCCTCAAACTCACCCCTTTTTAGTAGTTCACACCAATAAATATCTGTTGCAGCTAGATGCAAAACTAGATCACAACCCTTTTTGTTATAGTCACAGATCTGTCCTGAGATTTCCATGGAGCTTTTAAAAATATAAGAAAATGGTGAAATTATAGTAAATGTGGCATAATGCATACACGTATTATAAATAATTGAAGCCCTGATCTGACTGAAATGGACCTTGAATTGCGTATCGTATATTTCCTGGACAACAACTGTATCTGTAATGTAACTGCACAATTCCAACATTTTTGAAAACCACTAAAATACTTTGGATCATAAGAAATAATGTCTCATCGAGCAATTCTTTATATTTCCCCCGTGGATATTTTATTGGGCACACTTAAATGTAAGCATCACCTGCACAAGGCAAACAGTACTGACACAGATATTTGAGAAGATGTCAATGCCACCCATTTCAAAAGTGACACCATCATAACAAAGACACTGCTGAAGATGGTCTGCATGGCCAATAAAAAATATGGCAGCAAGAACACAAGAACACAAGTATGTTCCGTCTAGGCTCTTACGATCTGCTGAAGACTTACATCTATCTTCTGTCCGTACTCCCACCTCTGATGCTCGCCCTCAAGACTTCTCGAGGGCTGCACCGTTCCTGTGGAACTCACTTCCCTCCTCCGTTAGATGCTCACCCAGTCTCCACTCCTTCAAAAAATCATTAAAAAAACTCTTTTTCATAAAAGCGTATCAATAAAACTGTTAATAGCTCCCGACTGATTCCTCTCTTGCAACTGTCACTAGTCTAATACTATCCTTACCTTTTTGTGTCACTTTACCCCACTCCCTCTAGCCTGTAAGCTCATTGAGCAGGGTCCTGTTCATGTGTGTCCGACTTGTCTGGTTACAACTACGTGTCTGTTCGTCCACCCATTGTAAAGCGCTGCGGAATTTGATTGCGCTGTATAAATAATAACATAAAAAATGTCCCAAACTTTTGATGTGATTAATTTCTTAGCCTCTCAGCAGCATCTCCAGCCATCAATAAAGGAAGGAATAAGACACTACAAAACTAATCATGAACAACTCTACATGTTTTATTCTAACATAGTTATCAGTAGTCCTTAGCATGCCAATCAATTTTAATTATTTTTCTCAAAGATGGGGTGGGGGTTGCTGCACTACGTGCCCTTATGGACGAGCCTCCACTGATGGGACATCAAGCGCCAGAATATAGTTTAGATGGGACGACAATAGAACCAAGCTCCAGAAAATATCTCAGATGGGGCACCAAGAACTCCTGGGACATTCCTGTTACCACTAATATAGAAACCAAAAATACACACCCAGAATCAGGCATAGATTTGTAATACAATATGGCAGGTTAAGTGAAA